ACTGATGTTACAAAGTCCCGTCAAATAAAATCTTTGGTGATTAGAAAATATTGTCATCCTAATCCCACAGTGAATGTCATTTGGGCCTGTCACATAAAAGATTCATAATCATTATATATTTCTTTTCATTCAATAGAAGATAGTTTCTGAATGAGTTTTAATTGGGACTGTGCTTTAGGAAGGTAACCCCAGTGGCCATATAAACAACTGGAGCAAGCTTCGTTTCTAGGAATGCTTTCCCATCGTTTTACTGCTCTTATTTAATCTTGCCTGTTCACATTTAAAACAGGACCTTTTCTGAAGTAAATCAAATATAGAAGATTAAATATTGTGTGCTCTCTCTTATATGAGAAACTCAAAATATAAAAAACTCAAAGAGCAATGTAAAAGGTAGGTGATAAGAAATAGAGGTAGAATTTGTAGGGATGGGAAAGGAATCTAGGAGTGGCAGAGACAGAAGAGTAGAGAGGGAAAAGGAATATAAATGATTGAAATGATGAGTAGATTTACCAGTTTAATGTAATTATTATGTATTGCCAACATATTCTAAGAATAAAAGAAACTTTAAAAACCAGAATATATTGAAGAATGTGTTTAATGAGAAAACTGATATATATAAAGCCTTAATTCATCATAACATTTAAAAGTATAATACTCATTTTGCTTATACTACAATTTCTAAATCAAATGGTAAGATGTGAAGACAAAAGTGACTGAACAGATATCTGTGTAATTTAACTGTTTTATTTTGGCTTTGAATAATGTGCAAGTTTGCGGGTATGTCATCTCCATCCACCACGCACAAACTCTCAAAGTGGTTATTGACATTTTTGGTCCCTCCTCAGAAACAAGCAACATTTGCAAAAGAAGATCTAGGGACTATTGTATTAATAATCATGTGGTGATTGACAGAAAAACATTTTTAAGTAAAAATGTTTTGTTGTTGCTACAGTACTGGTTATTGGACCCAAGGCCTTTGCATTGAGCTACATCCACAGCCCTTTGCAAATTGTAAAAAAAATTCAAAATAATGAAACAAAAAATAAATATGAAAACATATCCCACTACTGGATCTCTCTGGCTTAATGTGTTGATTTTTCCAGAATGTCACTCTCCAGTGATGCCTTGACTAAAATGACGTGTTCAAATTCTGTCTAACCATCCATATTTAGCTCAATTATTGAAACCTTCCTGAAGATTTTCCATTGTAAGAATAAGTGAACTAGATGGCCCATGAGCAATGCAACCTGATTTACATAGTAGGCATGGACTTCAGAGGCATGGATGAGGTTGGTGGACATGGGCAAGAGAGGTGAGGGATGGCACACAGATGATGCAAGACCATATGCACATGCGCATGAACATGCATGCACACCCACAGACACACACTCACGCTTACACATAGATGCACACACATACGCAGGCTTTTGGTGGGTAAATGTTTTATGAGACTTGATCCGCAGTCAGTGTACAGTCTCCCTGGTCCTGTGTCATTGGTTCCTTTGATCTGCCATACTGAGCATTGCCACAGAGCTCCTCCTGCCTCCCTCGGTCTGAACTCCAGCTTTCTCACTGCCCTACTGTATTGTGTCCTCCCTGCTTTGATATCTTGAGGTTTGGTATCACTCCTCTGGGCTTTTTTTTTTCTTTTACTTGTTTTCATTGTTGTTTTTAGTGCTGAGATCCTTGCCTAAAAGGGCATTAAGGTTGTGGTGTGCTGTTAATAACATGTAGTGTGAGTCCTTCTCGGCAAGGCTGCACCATGCTTAAGTAGCTTTCTTTACATTCTGAGTGCATCTCTAAAAGGCAAAGTTTGTAAATTTTTGTTAAGGTGAAAGGAGAAATTTGAGCACCTTTTCTGTGTTGCTGATGTGTAGAGCTATTTTTAATTTTGGTTCTTCTCTTTTTCTCTCTGTGCTTGTGAATTTTAAGGTGCCAGACTGACTGCCCTCAAGGCTGGTGTCCCCAATTTATCCCAAGGATAGGAAAAATACAGAAGACAGCAGGGCTGGTCATGGCTTGGTCCAGAGTATTAGCCTGACAGACTCTGGAAGAATATTCTCCAAAACATAATGGAAATATCTACTTTCATAGCTGAGAGGACATCATCACCAAGCACTGTAGTGTTTGTGCATCCTGGAAGCCACAGATACACATTCCTTCTGTGAAAAAACTAGATGTTTTTTCTCTTGTCCATCTCTACCTGTCTAAATTCCATTCTTTAAACTCAAACTCTGCTGTCTGTTTCTCTACAAATCCTTTTCTGAGCCATCTCAGATGTGATTTTCCTTATATATTTTCATAACATTTTCTTCTAACATGTTGCACATTTTGCCATGTGATTTGGGGATGTATGTAGTCTCAGAATGACTCTACAATTCACAGTTAATGTCTAACCGATTTCTGCATGTCATACAGAGGCAGACTGTAGTACTGGACAAAGAGTAGACACTCAGGATATCTGTTAAGTAGAAGGACAATTTCAAAGCTTACCTTTCCAGCCTAACCTTACCATCTAAAGCAGGGATTGAGGTTTGTTAGCCGTCTTTGCGGATAGCTAACAAACTCTCCTTGCCATGGAGTTTCAAGCTCTTAAATTCCAGATATTACACTTTGTATATTCGTGTTCCAGTTCAGCGGTGCCAAACCTATGACAATGTGCCACAGCGGGCTGTTTGTATCACTGAAAGCTCTGAAAGGTTCGCCATCCCTGGGCTAAATCAAATTGTCATGTCTAGTTGGCTAGCAGACCACCTAGACCAATAGTTGACACCATTTGGCCAGAATATTGTTTTGTTTTGTTTTGTTTTGCAAAGTGTCATCCTCAGATCCCCAGGGTTCCTGATATCTGATTAAGTGATCCATTTTTACTTCTAGAAAGCCAAAAACTAATATAGAAAAACAATTTTGTTGACCTGCACTTAACAAGTTTATAATGTAATATTACAATTTTCATAGAAATCTTATGTGTTCTTAATAATCACATGGATTAGTAATCATCTATCTGCTCCTTAATCCTCAGTATTTTTTCTGTAATGGAATTCTGACAGTTGGTAACAGGGAGGACTCAGAATTTTAGTATCATTTTCAAACAGGGCCATTCACTTTATAGTAAACCAATTAAGTTTTTCATTTTTCTGTTTCCAGAGTAATCACAAAATAGTGTTATATACATTACCTTAATTTTTTTTACTATAAGCAGGGGAAGTAAAATATTTTAAAGATATCTTTCTAAATTTTACATCTTATAATAAAAATTGTACAACTCCTCTTGGGTAGAAGTTTGTAAGCCCAGTCATAAAGACTCTATTAAAATTATTATACAAATTTTTTATCAAATGTCAAGAGCATGATGTTGGGCCTTTGTAATAGTATCAACTCTAGCAGAGATGGCTGAGTTTCCAAGAACTTTATTTTTCCAGCACTTGATATTTCTCATTTCTTAGAAAAAAATGATGGATAGTTTGAGCCTTATTTAAAAGACACATTCCAATCCTGCAATAGAATATGAAGAAATACTCTCCAGGGCTAAATGCAACCAGAGAGAATTTGAAATATATTTACTTCTTTTTTTTCCCAAGTTGAAACATTTAGCCCTTTCATTTTTTGAGTGTGAAATGGTTGTCAATCCAATGTGATGGAGTGCTGAAAGCAGTCTTCAGTGAGAAATGTCTCCATCGTGAGCCATAATGCCAAATCTGTACTAATCCCGATGCATACAACGAGGAAGAAACAATACTGCATAGTGAGTAAGAGCACAAAAACTGAAGCTAAACTGCCTGCGTTTGATCATGCTTAAACATTTTTTATAACTCTTTTTCCTCACCTGCACAATAGAAATAATAACAGTATCTACACATAAGTTGTTACTGATATATGGGGAGCGCTAAGAAAAATGTCCAGCATGCATGAAATTAGCTTTGTTATAAGTTATATGAAAAAGCATGAAAATTTGCTGACATTCCCAGTGGTCTGTAATTATCTGTTGGGATTTTTAAATTTAAAGACGGAGGCTAAAGAAGCAAATTTGATGTGGACTTGACTTCTGACACCAGATTCCCATGATGGAGCCAGATAGACATATCAATTACAACCAGCACAGTATCTCTTTTGTCTTAAATTATATTTTATTGTTACAATTTAAAACAGTGTGCACAACCTAACATATATGGGCCAGATCCCATTAATCAATTTAAGAATGCTATAATTTTGCAGCACACTAGGTAGGGGTTCATGGCAGAACCAAGGCCATGAGGGACTCAAAAGCTCACAGTACTTGGGATTTTTATATGATTTAGGGATGTTGAAACTCAGAACATATGTAGAGGCCGTGCTAACTGAATCATAGTGTCTTAAAGGGTGTCAAGTCCAAGAGATGAGACTTGTTTCCTGAGACGCCAGAACACAGAGCTAGCACTTTTAGGTAGCAGTTAGAATGAAGATACATGCTGGCTCAACATGATAGAGAATTTCCTAAACAGTCAGAGTGATCTGGAAATAAAACGCATGATCTGCCTACCACTGAGGGCTCATTACCGAGATCTGACCACCAGGGCTTTTGGGAAAGGAGTCAAAGTTTGAGTTGGACCCAGATCCTTCTCGTTCTGACTGGATGCAGAGAATCTCCAAGGAGAAAGGCTTTCTTGGACTGTTTCCTAGGTTGTACCCTTCAGTACAACCAACATCCTGAGTCATATTTCCTTTATATATACATGTATGTAAGGTTAGAGGCAGAACACTGGTCTCAGAGTCAGAGACCTAAGTTCTGTCTTAGCACTTTCTCTGTGACCTTTGATCAGTCTCCTCAGCTGACTCATAAAATCCTGCCGTGCTGGCTTCCCAAAGCAAGTGGTGACTGTATGATAATCCTTCTTGGGTGGTTCTATCACTGCTGCTGGAGGGATGAATCAATCTGCTGCCTCTCCCAAGTTGGCTTCTTTAGGAAGGGTGAGGAATTCCTTTGTTTCTTCTTAACAATCAGTCCTCTCTTTTTCTCTCAGGCCGCTGTGCTCGCTGTGGGGAAAATGTTGTTGGGGAAGGCACAGGATGCACTGCCATGGATCAGGTCTTCCACGTGGACTGTTTTACCTGCATCATCTGCAACAACAAGCTCCGAGGGCAGCCTTTCTATGCTGTGGAGAAGAAGGCCTACTGCGAGCCCTGCTACATTGTAAGTTCTTCCACATTTGTCTCTCCAGTGCTTTGTCTCCTTTGGCCAAATGCCAGTCACTCCAGATTGAATGTAGCCAGCTGATCTTTATTCCTGAGCAGGCTTCAAAAGGTATGTTTTTGTGTAAGTTGATGTATCATCATTTTCCCCTGTATTTCCAACTCATATGAAGTCAAAAATTGCATTGGGGTAGGGCTCCTTTCATTAAGTGACTCTGCAGGGAGATCACCAACCTATGGCTTTCCAGCATGTACAGTATATACAAGCCAACACGCTCCTCCCTCAGGGATCAAAAGGCTTTCCTAGTAGCGGGCCCATACCTCTTGTTGTTAAATTTCACCTTGCATTGAAATCCATGTGTTTCGTAGGGAAACTGTCTATGGCCATTCCAACCTGAACACGCTCTATCTCGTCTTAGGGAAACTTTGCAGATCTCTTGACTTGTCAATGCTCTTCCAAACACCTGGATTTCAGAGTGTTTCTTAAATAACCTCCTTATCCGGCAGGTTTTCCTTGATGCAAAGAAGCCCTTTATTACAGAGCACCTTAAGGGGAAATTAATAGGAATGCTAATGGAGCTAATAGTAATTATTTTGTTTGAAATAACACAACTATATTTTAGTAAAAAATTCTCAGTCACATTATCTTAGCTTTTCTATAGGGCTACTTAATCCATTGAGCTATCCTCTCTGAAAGAGGAAGTTGATGAATAAAGTGCAAATGTTTAAAATCTAAAATATATTTCTTTGCTATCTTTCTGTGTGATTTTGATCTGCATAGCTAATTAATGGGGAAAATAACACTTTTTTTTGCAAATCCACAGAGGAGTCATGGTTTGACCCTTGGTACCAAGACATTCCAACCCAAAAGAAGCCTTGGCTGTGATGTATTGGGAGTCATATCTTTGTAGATTTCCAAAATTCAAGTGTTTTGGAGTTCCTGTCTGGGTTGGTATCATCCCATAAACTGTCATCCCTAGCTCATTGTCATGATGGGGCTTCTAGTATGTATCTCAAAGTTCCTCAAGATTAAGATTTTATTGGATTAAATATCATTTTGCATATTTTAAGTTCAATATTATTTCATCTTCCTTTCAAAAGCACCTCAAACATATAGCATCATAAAATAATATACTGTTAGAGTTGGAAAAACACATATTTTAAAGTCATTTGCTTAACATCAGCCTATAAAATGAGAATACTGAAAGGTGGAGAGGAGGACACCCATTTCTTATGTACCACATCAGTGTCAGAGCCAGGGCTGCATTTAGTTGTTTACACTTCTACACCTACTTACCTATTGTGCAAACACTACATGGTTTTAATTTGTACAAAATGTGTGTTCTTTTGCTCTGGAAGAAACAATTATATATAAGAAAAGTATAGAAAACAAGAGCTTACCACTTTAGCACATATTTTAAATACCAACCTTTGACATCATTTTTGAAAAAGGAAAGGCATTACATGGTTCCCTTCTATATTTAAATGGAGTGCATGAACTGACATTCACAGTGACTTAGGACCACCACTCTGAAATTTACTCAAGGCTGTGAGCTCTCACAGAAACCTCAACAGAGCTGCAGAAGCACCTAGAGCTGTTTGTTCTTACACTTACTAATTACAGAGTGCTGTGTCTGTATGTGCACATGCACGTGCACACACGTGTGTGTATGTGTAGCTCTTGTCTCTGCATTTCATCCCTTTTTAACTATCTTGCTACTTCAGTGGTGCTTTTGTGCCAGCCTTCTTCAGCGAGTCTTATTATCTCTTATTAGCCAAAACTCTTAGATGTAGCATCAGGAAATAATATAGCACTCTGAGAAGAACATGAGCTTCAATTCAGTTCTGTCACTTAATGCTTTGTCTCCTTGGGAAAGATACCTGATCTTCCTAAGCCTTAATTTTGTCATCTGTATAATGGGGATGGTTTGAGGGATTTTTTTTCCCTGATGACTCCTTAAATTGAAATGAAGCAATCTTTTAAAGCAAATTTGACCTGCTCAGGAAACAGTAATGGAAAAAGTGTTATTGTGAGATTAATTTTAAGAGATTTTTGGACCTATTTACTATCTCTGAACATGACAATCTCATATGTGCAGTAAGACTCTGAGCCTTAGAAATATGTTTTACCCCTCAAATATATCCATTTTATAAAAATGAATTTCACAGCAGGTGGGTGGATTTTTATCTCTATTGCAGACAAACATCTCTGATTATCCGTGGTGCTTCCCTCTGCTTTGGTTGCACTTTACTGTATTGTGCTTAATCAAATGCTTGGAAGAGCTGGATGAATTCAAATTCTGAAAATTGTACCACCTTTTTTACTTTTATCCTTGTAAGAGTGTTTCATGATTCCGGAATTCACTTAAGCTTTGTTTGAGGGCCCTTGTTGATTATTGATTCCAAATTCACCACACAGCCCTCATGCTTGCAAATGGATGCATTAGCACTGTAATTTCTTCTAAACTTTCGCATGTCCAAAAAGCTGCACACTGGAAGTGTAAAGAAGTCAAGGAAACAGGGAGAATAAGATAAAACAAATTTCTTCTGAAGACAGATTTTGCATAAGAATAAACTTAGGGTTGTGTGTCTGTTTCTATGAATGAAAAGGCTTAGAATAGGAAGTACTTCTTGTGTGACCTGACAGAACTGCTTCTTGTTATAGTGCTGGAAGCGGATGTCTAAAAGGCGTTCTCTACAAAGCAGAGAGAGCCCAGACCCTGGGCATCAGTCAGTATTCCTATAATTTTTTTTCATTATTGAAGGAGGATTTAGCTCAGCAGCACTGCCCCTGCCTCACAAGCACAAGGTCCTGAGTTCAATCCCCAGTACAAAAAAAAGAGTATTGAAGTTAGCCACCCAGCTATCATCCTTAAGTGCACGGAGATCCCAGCGAAGTTAGTGGATTAGTGAATTATTTCTGAGTGAGGACCATCAGTGTTTGACCAACCAATTTGACTTTGCTTTAAGTACTCAAACTGATTTCTGCCAAAAGTGTTTATTGATAAATCTAAGATCATATTTAAATTTACTATTTACATAATTTATAGACAAAATGTGCCAATCATGCCTCCACATTTGATTCCATGATTATTAATATATTAACAAAAGCATTAATGATTTGTAGTATATTTCTCAAATTTTTAAATCCTGGTGCACAAACAACTGTGATTAAAAAATTTAATTCTAAGGGCATCGTAATTCTCTTTACACATATTTTGTTTTCTATTTTCTACTTACTAACCTCATATAAATATGTGTGTAGCTTTCCATTGGTAATAATCTTCATTTTTAGCTTTTCATCTGTTTAGGTTTATATCATGTTTATACACTACATTTTAAAACCATTTGTCCCTCAAAATGTATTAGATATTTTCTAATATTTTAACATTATAACTAATATGCCCACAGAAAACCTATTTTTTATTTTTTAAAAGTATCACCTTAGCCTAAATACTTTGATTTATGTTACCAAATCAAGTGTAATGTAATTCAGAGGACTTTCGGTTTACCTTATTATATCTCTTTATAAAGACTTTTCCAATAACCAAGACCATCAGCATTAATTATAGCACGTATTAAACTGTACCCTATTCCTCATTGGAGAACTTTACTCATATTTATTTTTAACCAATTTAATAATTGTATTATATCATATTTATTTTGTGTTTGCATAATTATTAAAATCAATTAGATGCTTTTCTACTTTGGTGATATCTTATAAAAGCTTAATTTTGATTCTTCTTATACTTTAAAATAAATGAATAGACTAAAGTCAAGAGCCCTAAAACTTTCCTGGGAGTTAAAATGATAGATAAGAATCTATTTTTCCTTTTCCTGTCTCTCCTGGTATGGCCTTGGGTAAACCATTTAATTGTTGAGTACTAATGTTCTCCTTTATTGAAGGAAGATAGTAATTTCTTCCCTATCTTCAAATAAAGGAAATGAACTAGTATGATATTTCGTATACTGTGAAACCATTTACTATAATAAGGGGTTAATCTGCAGTTAGCTTTTTTCCTTAGCCTTGTGTGATACAATTTAGAAACATTTTGTTTGGAGTAGTGTAGTTGTTGCTAATAATGAACTTGCTTGACTTCATAGGAATATGAGGATATATATGAGAAAAAGAGAATCATGCTTAGCTTAAGACAATTTTTATGTTTTTTGAGAATGAAGGACAGCAGCAATGCTTCCTGCTTATGTGTCCATCTGCCCTTCATGAGACAACTTTCGTCATCAGTGTAGATTTAGGAAAGAATGGCTGCTTTCTTCTCAGCACTGGCAAGGCGTCTGGACCTAGGGACACAGTACGTCAGAGATTCACAGCAAAAGTCTGTTTATGAAATGGCAGCCAAGGATCCTTCCCGAAACCAGGGCTCTTTACAGAGTGGACAGAATCCAATTCCTCACTCTCTGACAGTAGAATCTGGTCAGGCATTTTTATTAGAGCTGGAATCCTAGTGACTAAAGGACTTCTGGAAAGAGAAGGCCAACCCCAAAGACTGCTAAACACTTTAAGGGACCTGAACTTGGCATATTCCTGACCAACACGCTAACACTCTTTCGTTCTCTTATGTTGCTAAGTGGCTACACTTACATCAGAATCACTTTTCATCTTCCATTAAGAGATAGATTTTTGTTCCTCTGCAGGAAAGCTGTCTTTTTATATACTGAAGTTCTCCTAATAAAATGTTCTAAAAGCAATTATAGCCAGTGCCTTATGTGAGTGTTGAAAATGGAACCGAGAGTTTGGGCTAAATCTGAAAAATCGACATACAATTCCCTCCTCTTAACTGCACACCTCTGCTCTGTCATCTCAAGACATGCTTCCTTCTAGTTTCTCTTTCTCTCACATCATACATGCACGGGTACACATGCACGGGTGCACATGCATGTGCGCACGCGTGCACACACACACGCGCGCGCACTTTCTTCTTGATGTTTTATCGTTATTCTACCAGCCTTCTCCCAAGAAGAAGAAAAATGTTTCAAGAAAGA